CTGAGGTACACCACTATTCTCACAAACTCTCTGATTGGGAAGATTGGAGTGACCATCTTTCTGAGAAGTTATGGTACAATTTTCCCCATAATATTCCTTCTTAAAAGAGTAACATTCTGCAGAACCAATATTCTTCCACATACAGCTTGTGAACACACTGGCTTGTCCAAATATGCTTGTAATGGCCTTCAAGTAAATATCTGGTATGGATTTTTTGTTTTAATGTCAACTGTCACTTTAGATGTTGTGCTAATATTTATTTCTTATATGCTGATTCTCCATGCTATCTTCCGCCTCCCTTCCCAAGATGCTCGCCACAAAGCTCTGAATACTTGTGGGTCCCATGTCTGTGTCATCATACTCTTTTATGGTCCTGGGATCTTCTCAACCCTCACAAATCAGTTTGGACACCAGATTTCAGCGGATATCCATGTCCTGCTTGCCAATGTTTGCATTCTGGCTCTACCAATGTTGAATCCCATCATCTATGGCGTCAAGACCAAACAAATCCGAGACCAAGTGACTCATGTCTTGTTTCTGAAAGTAATATGACTTTCAGAAGAGAGACCAAACTGCTGCATCCTCAACATTCTAGTCACATATGAGGTGATCTCTAACAGCCCTGGTAGTTGAGGGGTATTGAGTCCAACTATTTATCTCAATGACTCTCTTTGTGGATAAACTCCACTAGGGGAATTTTGATATGCTTTTCAAGGTCTCAGATCGGTAATGAGATTGGAATACTTCGAGTTTACGATGTACAGATTTGTTACTATATATTCACTGCACATAGTAACGGGTTCTAAAGATACTTTCGATCAAGTATTCATGTACTTTCTCTGTATTCACCCCATTATCTCATGCTCCCTCTTGTTGCCCTTCTCCTAGTTCCACGCTCACCTATTCTTACTTCAACTTTCAGATCACATATGTAGTTACATATGTCGTATGTATGTGATTTCCTGCACCTAAAATCTAGGGCTCACAAATGAGAGTAAAGGAGATGTTTGTCTTTCTGAATATGACTTACTTTGCCTAATATGATCATCTCCAGTTGTATCCAATTCTCTGCAAATGATATGACTTCATCTTTTTTCTGGCTGAATGAAACAATGTGTGTGTATATATACACTGTATTTTTAAATTGATTATTTGTGAATTTCACATCATGAACCCTGTTTTCATCTCCAGTCTTCTCATGTCTGCCCTTCTTCCTCTGTGATCTCCCCACTCCAAGGTGTGTGTGTAGGGAAAGTCCAGTTTGTGTTGTCCATGTATTCCCTGGAGCATGGTCAGATTCCTAGTGTCCAGCCTCCAAAGGAAGGACGAATCTTTCTCCACCTGCATCCATGCCAGAAGTCATCAACTGAGGAGAGCCATGTGGTGGCCAGAGCCAGCTCTCCTGTGTCCATGTCACTGCCTGTGACTATCACCATCCTGTGGGCTGATGAGGTGAGGGGCCAGCTTTCCTGTGCACATGGCTTCAGGCAGCAGACCAGACCATGGGCATCTGCATGGGCTTCCGTGAACATCATCATGGCCTTTGGCAGTATCAGGACCACTGATCCACTCTTGGCTTTCAGCGGTTGCATGGGTTATGAGCATCCTCGGATGGCCTCAGGTGGTTATACATGTCAGTCACATCAGCATGGTGCCCTGAGGCAGCAAATCCCAAGAACATCACCAAGGCGCCAGGCAACAGCATAGACTGCTTATGTCTATAGAGGTCTCAGGCCTGGTGCAGCAGCATGGGTCACCGTTACTAACTTGGTCTCTGGTGGCATTGAGGTCCACAGTGGTCCTTCAAGGAGGTCCAATCCAGAAAGTGAACTTTTCCTCATTTCGGGTCTCTTGTTGCCTAGAGCCACGGGGTTCCTGTGGCCAGGCGGTAGGTTCGGGGGCTGAGTCTGAGTCTGCTTAAGCTCCAGGCTGTCATACACCATCCAGCCGACCCCACGGGGTAAGGACAACAAGTAGATTTCAGCCCTCCCTCTTACCTGCCACTTCTATCAGATATCCAGTTCTGCCTCTCTCTATAGCACACATCACTCCATTTTTTTCTGTCTTTCCTACCTCTCCATCATGTATTTGTTCTTTGTAGTGGTGCCTACCACCCCTACTGCCGTCCGGGGCCTCAGGAGGCAGGCAGGGGAGGCCACACAGCATTTTCTTTATCCATCATCTGTTGATGGGCTCCTGGGCCAATTCCATTAGCTTGGTGTTTTTTGGAGCTCTGTCTTCTGACCCTGACCTCCAATATTCTTAGTCTTTCTTTATTATTTTTGTGTTTCTTTGAATCACACTTGGGCTACATTTTCCTACCCTGTGTTTACTTTTTGCTAATGATCTTCACCTCTGTCTAATACACTGGTCAACCAAAACATTGAGTCTTATTTTTTAATTCAATGATTGAATTTAAAAATTGTTAAATTTTAATTTATCTTTACAGAAAAAAAATGTGCAGAAAGTAGGAAATTTGCATGTACTTCTCTTCTCCCTTTCTTCAGTTTTTCCTATTACTAACATCTTGCATTGATGTGATACATTTATTAGGATTGATGATAAATACTGGTATATTATTGCTAATAAAATTCATAGTTTCCATTGTCAGGCTTTGTTGATAGCCTATGTTGACAGTAATTTTATTTATATTATTCTGATCTCTATGAATTTGGTGCTTAACTGGGTTCATATTAATGTGAGATTAGCCAGATAACAGAAGAAAAGACTTTAATGGATTTGATCGTGGTCAAAAGAAAATTGTAATGATGAATGTCTTCTGAGTCTAAATTGAAGAATATAAACGACAATATACCGGTGAACTCACAGTAGCTGCAGTTACCTACATGAATCCTGTACAAGATCAAACCAGTCAACATTCCAGCATGGATGGGAAGGCTCCCTTGAGGATCCTCCTCTAGCTCGGGAGCTAGTGACAGTTGATGCCTGCTGAACGAGGGCGAGCCATTTTTCTTTTAGGGTGTGGACACGGATATGTTGTCCATGGTCCCTAGCATGGGTGGCCCACAGCCATGAGGTAGTAATTGGATTAGAAGACTATGTACAAAAAAGAAGAGGACATGTTTGGGGTGGTCTAGGGGTGACTGGGAGGGGACAATTAAAGTAGATATGATAAAGATATGTTGTATACATATATGAAAATGTCAAAGATAAATAGAAATATTCTTAAAAATTATAAATCACTAATCAGGAGGCCTTCCCCTTTCTGAACAGAAACAAAGGAGGAGGGGATGGGGGGCAGAGGAAGGTGGGAGGAGGGGAGGGGAGGAGAGGAAGGAGAGGAAACAGTGGTCAGGATGAAAAGTAAATGAGTAAGTTTAACTAATAAAAAAAACCACTAAACAGAGCTGGGTGTGGTGGCGCATGCCTTTGATCCCAACACTCGAGAGGCAGAGGCAGGCGTGTCTCTGTGAGTTGGAGGCCAGCCTGGTCTACAGAGTGAGTTCCAGGACAGGCTCCAAAGCTACACAGAGAAACCCTGTCTCGAAAAACTGAAAAAACAAAACAAAATGAAAAAAACAAAAACAAAAAACCCAAAAAACCTAAACCACTAAACAGAATATAAATCACACAGAGTGGCTGATAGTTTAGGAGGAAAATACCAATGTTAATGGAATATGATCTTAGTGAGGTTAATATAATATGTGTAGCTGGCATATATGTGAGCAACCAATCGTGACTAGACAGTAGGATGTCTGGAATTAGTGAATCTGGAAGTAGAAGAGTGATAAAATTATGGAAATGAGTACCTAGAATAGAGTGGCGAGAAATACAGAGCTGAGGAGGAAGCAGAATTGAGAGTATGTGCAGTGACGCATGGATAAAAAAATGTGTTGTACACACATACAGAGAATATTATTCAGCCTTAAAAACAAGGGAATCCTGTCCTGTGCAACAGCATGCCTGAACCTGAAGGTATTACGATAAGTGAAACAAGCCAGATAGGAGAAAACGTAATGCATGACAAATACCTGTGGACTCTAAAGCAGCCAGTTTCACAGAAGCAGGGAGTAGAATGGTGGTTGTCCAGTAGAGGGAGGGCAAGTGTGGCAGATATTCAAAGGGCTCAACACTTCACTTATGGGAGATGGATATGATTTGGAAATCCAGTGTTCAGGGATGTGTTGATAGTACACTTGAAACTTGCTGAGATCGTAGACCTCCCCACAAAGCCAAACCCAAGGGAATTATGTGAGGCAATGAGCATTTTGACTAGCTTTATTATGGTGGCCATTTCAGTGTATATATAGTATACCTCAAATACACACGTTTTTAATTTGTCAGTTATTCTTCAGTAAGTTTTAGGCAAAAAGAACAGAGAGAAGAACTTGTTGTCTACTTGTACACTGAACTGTTTATACAAGAGTGCCAACATCTTGCATGTATTTGTGAAGGAATAGAGCAGGTCTGTCACCAGCACTGAGGTGGAGAAAGACGATACCAGTCCCATACAAGCAGCAATTTCAGCAAGGAAGTCAGTAAGAATTAATCTGGAAACAGCTCAGGAAGTAGTTTGCAGTAGAAATCACCTTAAGTGATTTCATCTCTTAAAAGTTTCATTAAGTCTCACCAATTTAAATAAATTGCACCAAAATATCCATAGATGAAAGACTTCACTAGATGATTTTTCTTTTCATATTTTCCTTATTGACTTCATTTCTCTGTGATATAAATTCCATGAAAGCATTTGTCTTCTCCATTCCTGTATTTTGAAGTGACTGGCGTGGAGTAGATTTCCAGTGGGATTATTTTTATTTACTTCAAAAAGATTTCTAATATGTATTAAAATATGAGATTTTCAGTCAGTAATAAGATAAAGTTCATGGAAGTAAAAACATTTCTGCTACAGTTTCCTTCTTTGGAGCAGTACATATTTAACTCAAATAACTCAGAGTGCACAGAGATATTAATATGCTGGGCTGGTGATGGTTCAGTGAGCACAAAGAATTTGATCCCACAGTGGAAGGAGAGACTCAGATTGTAAAAGTTATACTCGGACCTACACACATGCTCCATGACTTACATGTGCACAGTTACACACACACAAATCATATACTGCCTCTCCACCAAACCAAAACCCAAAGGAACAGTGTGTCACACAGAAACAAAAAATTAAAATCCTATGTAAATAAATTCATCAGAGAACACTGTTAACAGAACAAACTAGAAGCTATGTAAATGTGTGAAACGGGAGATTAGAAAACAAAGAGGTACATGGGAAGGTACATAAGGAGGAAAGGGAATGGAGAAATGACATAATTATATTATAATCTCAAAAATTACAACAATTGAGAAAAGGCATCATGGCATGTCAACAGTGAAGAATATTCAGTCACTCGTTATTTTTTCAAGAAATATTTATAACTCTTCATGTGGTATTGTGCTAAGCTGGAGACAGGTGCAGCTATAATAGAACCATGTGGTGGAATTGTGCTGGATTTTGGTTTCCTGATACACCAGTAGGGCTTACCCATTCCTGTCACAAAACAACAGAAGTGAGATGATGGATATTCAATTTCTTCCCTATGGTG